GCTGTTGTGTTAAATGATACACACTTCTCAGAATCGAGTCAGGTGAAAACACCCACCAAACACCAGCGATTCAGAAACAGAACATCAAAGCCTGCCGTCACCTGGCTGCACTTGCCCAGGCTGCACCTTTGACCCACCTCCTAAGTCTCTGGGGGACAGAGACACCGCCCTGCGCTCACACTCTGCTTCCAGGGATGGAGGCACAGTGACCCAGAGACTCAGATGCCAAGATACCTCAAGAGAACAAAGAGGGGTGGTGGGCAGGGTGCTGAGCAGGGCAGGGCACTGGGCAGGACACTGTGAGAGCCCGCAGGATGACAGGGAGGCCCCTCGAGGCCCCAGTCCCATGTGAGGGAGGAGTTGGAGAGGGCAGAGGGCTGGAATGCCAAGTATCTGATCCGAGTGCTGGCCAAGAGTAGAATCTGGAGCCAGCCGGGCAGGGCCTTGGGGTGCCTGGTCCAGTGGGCCATCACATCAGCTGACATGCAATTGCACCTGCAGGCACCCACGCGCCTGGTGACTCACAGCCGGGTCAGGAGCTCCTCGGCCTGCAGCCCGGGCTGCTCAGTGAAGCTGGCTCCCTGCAGCCTCAGCTGGGCTGGCAGAAGCCCAGGAGGAGGGGTGAGAGGGAGGAGGGTCACACCCCTTCCTGTTTCAGAGCCTGGCAGCTGGGCCCACCCAGTGCCCAAAATATCTCCAGAACAGAAAGGGGAGGCTGGCTGACCACCACTCAATGGCCCACACCTGTCCCTTGCTCGCCCAGGTGTTGAGTGGAGTGTCGGCATCTGGCTAGAATCCACCAAGACCATCCTTCCTGCTGGCTAGCCGCCCTGGGCCCACCTGTCCCTTCCCATGATGCTCACAACTCCCTCCTCCAGGCCTTCTGATGATCACGCAGTACAGCCAACAGGCCACGCCTGCAGAGCTAAACTCCGCATAGATGCAACTGCATGGGGGCGTGGCTTGTTGGGTCCATCAGAAGGCACATGGGCCCCAAGAGCCAGCCAGCCAGCCAGGGGCTCCATCAACACAAAGCAGCACATAGAAGTCGGCGACGGGCAGACATGGCTCCAAGCGTTCTCATGTACGTGAGCTCACTCTATTCTCACGACGCCTCTCTCTGTGTTCTGTCCTATGGTTGCCGCCTTCCTACGGATGAAGAGGTGGGCTCAGAGAGGTGAAGGAACTCCCCCAAGGTCTCACAGCTCCTCAGCAGCAGGAATGAGGCACAAACAGGGGATGCCTGATTCCCGAGTCCGTGTGCTGGGTTTGCATTTCTCTGTGATGGAAGTTCATGGCCGCAAGAGCCATCGGGACCCACCTCCTAGCAGCTGCTGCAGGCAGGCACGAACTCTTTCCCTCCAGGTCAGGAAGGCCCTAAACAAGCCTTGGCACCTCTCGGGTCCCCTCTGCTCTTCTGTCAATGAGGAGAGCGGGGTGACTCCCCTCCTGCTGTCCTCTGGGAACCCTGATGGTGCTGTCGGGTGAACATTGAACTGCTAACTATAAGGTGGCTGTTCGAATCCCCCAGCCAATAAGGCTGGCTGCTCCCGTAGGGATTTGCAAAGCCTCAGAACCCCGTCCAGGGCTGCTTCGAGTCAGAATCAACTCATTGATGGCGGTGGGTTTGGGGTTTTGCCTCCACTGAGTCACGTTGGTTTCTCCATAACCTGGCCCCTCAACTTTCCTGTGAGATGTTTACAACCAGCCTCCCTGAAGCTTAGAGGGGCCTGGGCCAAGGTCAACCACCAGGAGGTCAGTGGCAGATGCTGGCCTCAGACCCTCTAGTTCGGGCCCCTGGAGCAGGATGTGTCCCTGGCATCTCACCTGTCCCCATTGTAGTAGGTACATAAACTGGTGTCAATTTGAGGATTACGAGTGTAGGGGTGGAGTCTAGCCTGTCAATCAGGATACAGCCAAGGAGACCTCTGTGGGCATGGCCTTCTCCTGAGGGTTCTGGGAACTCCTGTCTTCCTCCTGTGAGGCGGGAGACACTCTATCGGCTCACTCTCTGTGAGACATCCCTGTGGAGAACACACATGGAGAGAGGCTGATGGAGCCAGACCTCTGGAGACAGAAAAGCCATGTGGAGACCCCTGCCAGCGCTGAGGTGCTTACAACGCCACTGGATCCACAAGACTTCCTACCCACTCACTGGCCTGTGATCTTCCTGCATTCAGCATCATTGCATGTGCTTGGTGAGTCTGAAGAGGACTTTATAGATTGTTATCAGACATATGGGCTAATATCAGACTTATGAATTTGATCTGGACTGTGCTGGAATATTTTCTCAATATTCAGCTGCCCTTGTATATAAAGCTCTTTCTTATATACATGAGTCTCCCTGGATTTGTTTCTCTAGTCTACTTAGACTGACACACCCATGGACGAATAGCTCCCCCCAGTTTGCTGCCTTTGCCAGGCGTCAGCTTAAAGAAAACCTTTTGTTTTAGTTCGCGTGCTCCTCCTCTCCCTCCCGCCTGTCCACCTCCCCTCGCCCACCTGAAAGCCTCCTGGGAGGTGGGAGCAGCAGCTGCTGCCAAGACCCGGCCGTTCCCGGAGGCCAAAGAAATGAAGACACCTGTCCAGGTGTGTGTGT